AAAAAAGTTTTTTTACTTAAATGTCTAATTAATTTCACAAATGCTTTAATTTTGTTGGATATTCATCAGAATTTTAGATCAAAACTAATATTTAATTTATAATTAAATAGCAAAACAACAAAAGATTTTAAATGAATGAAGAAATGGATAACTTTTCTAATTGTAAACTTTTGTCGAGAATTTGCAAATAACATGTTAATTGAATTGTACAGAGAAATCAATGTATAAGTCATTTCCGGAATGAATCAAATTAATTGTATAAATGGGACCAAAATTATGAAAACAATTTAAATCCTATTTATTAAATGAATTATAAAATACAACACAAGTTGATATCAAATAATATATACTTTAAATTCACAATAAGTTTATTTTGACAAAAAATACATTTTTTGTTAAAAAATAATGATTTAAATTATAAAAATAAATAAAAAATGATTTGTCCAATGATTGCAATTAATTATTATAATTAGAATAATTAATGTAACTTATATTAATATATTTTTGTGTATATATTTGAGTTTCAAGTGTATGTAAAACTATTAAAAATCAAAATTCAATTTAAAGCTTTCGGATCAGCCCTAAGGAATTGATCAACACTTCAATCATATATTAATAGAAAATCTTAACAAAAGTGTTGATATAAATCATATCATATAAAATATTAAATAAATAGAAAACATCACAACATATTATATTATTTCATAAAAGTTTCAAATAATGTGTAGAAATATCTAAAAATAAATTTATATAAATTATAATTAAAAACATGTTTGAAATGAAATCTCAGAACTCCCAGGACTCGAGCCATTTGAGTCCATACATTGTGCTGTTGTTTTCATGAGAGTGAGGGCCAGACATACCGTAACTCAACGGATAAAACAGATAAAAACTATAGACGAGAGCCGACAGAAGAATGCCATATGAGAAGTGATAGATAGTGGGCGCCAGCGATGGCGACAACAGCTGCGGAATCACTCTAAATATATAGTCAATAATCACTGCCGACAGCATTGAACTGAAGAGAGAGGCCGGGAAGTAGTGGTGAAAATACAAGACTCGTCCCATTGAGTAGAATGGGATGTAATGAAGAGCCCAACCAATAAACAGCCAAACGGCTGCTCTCGTTAGGCGAGTGTTGTGTTGGCCGATCTCTTCGGCCTCAGGACAACCGCGTTGTCGCCGAACGGCAATAACAAATTGGACAAAACCGTAAATAAATACGAGCGAAAAGTTTGTCCACCAAATGATTGGATTTCCCAATAAATATATACGATATTCATTGCCAGAAAAGAATTGGCCCTAAAATACAACACATTTTAATTGTCATAAATGCGTGAAAACAAACTTCGCAACGCGTGATACCTTATAGTTGATGGGCCACTGCCAGGGCCGGGACGTGACCTCTCCCTCCTTGGGTTTGAGGCCAGCGTTTCCCTGAAACATAACGGCATGCGATTCCGTGAAGCGCTCCCAAAAGGACGGCGCGTACACTTCAAAGCTCACGTTTGGCAGACGCGGGAAGTGATTGTCTTCGAAGTTCCAGAAGATGTTGGCGTTCAAGAGGTTCGGAGAGCACGAGACCTCCATTTGCTCGAAACCCCATTTCGGCAATTGCTTTGAATGCGAATGAAGCGCACAATTCATCAAATAGTGAACCAGTTTTACTTTACTCGTCACCGTTTCCACCATCTGTTCCTCTCGACCGCCTGTTATCTCGATTTTGAACACATCGTTCGCATCTCCCGTCCCATTGTCACCATAACAGGTCACCTGAAATATTGTTCATATAAGTGACCATTAGTCAGGACAATAGCAACTAATTTAAATGACTTTTACAAACCTGGAAGTGTTTCTTAGTGACGGGCGCTAACTCTTTATGGCTGTGAAGGTTGCGAGTGGTGACCAAATGTTCCAAACGGATCAGATCTCCGTTCTTAACGAACTCAATGTCTCTATCGTCGGCATTGGACTCCTTATCGTATTTCTTGATTCGCCACTTATTGTTGTCGTCTTTATGCGAATATGTGGTCACCTGTTGTTGTTTTGCGCCCACAGTCTCGGGATAGAGATGCCAATGGGAGTGAAGATATCCACCGCCTGTCCGGTGGTTCTTCAGTGTGACGACAGCGCCGTAAGCGATATATCGAGGCATCGATGCGTTGTATAGAGAATTGCCCTCAAGTTGTGACTGAAAGGCCGAACTGAAGAATCCGTCGCCGTTTCCCGACTTATATAACACTTTCAGATGAATCCAAAAGAATGTCATATAAAGTATTAGCGGTATTGCTATCAGACATAGGCTTCTGGCCAACAGATGCTTCACCACAAGTGATAACGGATTCGAGAGATTGCCGTAGAGTTCCCACAAATCGGCGATTGTCTGAACGCCGACCACACATATAACAAAAAGACCGACGAATTTGACAC